CCGGTGAGTCAACTTGTCAGCTCAATCGACTGCCTCTCAATACAACGGATGCAATGGCGGCCTCGGACGCTCACGCATAAGGGCCCTGGCGTGTTTATGGCTGGTCCGCTGGCGATGTGACCAAACTCAATCGCAGCGCTAAGGCGTCCCAGATGTACATACTCACAGTTGCATGGAATCTACATCCTACCTTATGCGCAAAACGTCACATCTCTTACAACATCACGTAGTCTCAAGCTGAGAAAAAAAAATTGACCAAACAAGTCAGAAGCATCCTATGCTTCTGTCCTTGACCTTTTGTTTCCTATGGACTGCCCGATATACAAATGCTCTACTCCAGCCTGTTTTTTTTTTAACGGGAAAGGCGGATCCCAAGAAATCAATCGGCCTTCCCTCGTGGATTGTCATACAAGTACAGAGTAACCGCTGCCGAGCCCATGCGGTGTTACCATATGCAAAACAAGAATGACGCCAGCGTGAGAATAAGACATCTATGATACATTCATCCGTGTGACTGTGATTCGTAAAGACGTTATCGGTAACTGCCCGACTGAGCAGCCGTTGATGAATTCGTTATCGTGCTGTCGCGATTCGGTCTGCGGCTAATGCTGCTAGCCCGGTTCAGCAACGAAGTGTGACTGAGAGAGAAGTGTCGCGGCTGCGCAACAACCTGTTGCGGCCGTTCTTCGGTGACTTTCTCAGCCGAGGAAGGTTGTTCGCGTTCTGGAGTTCTTTCCAGATATCGGCGCGTCGCCAGCGATGGTGTGGAAGGCGCAACCAGCCGAGAAGTGATAGAGGAAGCTCCGAACCGTCTGCGAGGCAGGGCAGAAGAAGCTGGTGATGAGAGTTCGTTGGAGTTGGTGTTTGAGAGGTAGGTATGAGAGACTGCGCGGGCCGGTGTGGTGAGCTCTGTAGCAGCGCGGGACGGGGCACGAAATCTAGATTCATCTTCGTCTTCGCCGCCCACAGTTCCCCTCCGTGAGCGAAGAAGTGACGTTTGACGTCCATTCTCGCGGCCTGCTGCTTCGCGTGAATCCTCCGGCTCCTCTGTGCCTGCTCGTCGGGTCCTCAGCATAGAAGACCTGCGGCCATCCTCAGGCTCTTCGGTAACAGCACGGCGCGAACGGCCAATGAACAAGGATGACTTTCGGTTCGCCATTTTGCTGCTGTCGCCGGGGGTACTAGGAATGGTGCCGGGTGGAAGAGCAAACCTGGGACTGGGGAGCGAAACCGGGTTAAGCATGGTGTTGCGCCTCTCTTCGTATTTTGAGAGGGCCCTCGGGCTCGTGACCGTGGTAGCATTGGCCTTCGGGAGAGTCTGCTGCTCGGCGGACGTTATGCTAGGACGTCGCTGGCCAGATGATCCGCCGGTGAAGGTCTTGTTGATAGTTGGTGTGACTGGTGTCGTCGTTTCCTTTGGTGTAGGAACGTTGACTTGGAGAGTCTTGTTGCCAGCCGCTTCTTCGCTCAATGCCAGGACTAACTCTGTAAGGCTTCGGCAGATGCTGTCAGCCTTGCGTCGCAATTGACGATCCGTCAGGCTGGTGCCGACGCCAATTGTGCTGGCACCGCTGGAGATGGGCCCGGGCTGACCTGCCGTCCCCATCATGTTGGCCAGTGCCAGGGCGTCTGTTGCTGCCACCTCGAGTGCCTTGGCCACCTCTTCACTAAGGAATGGCTTGGACTTATTGACAGCAGAAAGAAGGATGGGTTGCTGGACCTCGCGTTGTGAAGACGTCGTGCTAATTGCGTCGGTGTGGGGATGCTGGCTTTCGGAAGCTCGTTTCGGCGAGGTGGACATGGTCGTGTTGGTTGCGGTCGGCGGGCGATCGTCTGAGGCTCTTGACATTGCGGCGCCCGACGTCTTGGGTAACTTGCCGGTCAATTCCAGGCGATGGATACGGGACTTGAGATCATCCAATTCATCCCACACTGTCGACGGTGCGTTTGTCGATGCTGTCGCCGTCGATTCGGTTCCCTCGACTGTCGTTGCTGCGTCTTGGTGCGTTTCGGTGCGTGGTGCTTCTATCGATTTAGGAACCAATGGCGAAGAGTTATACGTACGCGTTTGGCCATACGACAAGTTGGATTGTCTGTACGCCGAGCTGCGCGCAGAGTAGCCGGTGTTGCTGTCTGTCAAAGAAGGCCTTCTCCGTGCATATGGAGAGTTCTCTCCCATCGGATCTTGAAAGGTAAAGGACCGGGGTGTGTTGACGGTTGAGCGAGACGAAGATTGATGGAATGTCTTTACGCGACCAAGGTCTTCGCCGGGGTGCGCGGATGAAGGCCGGTCTCGGGTCAAAGGCGATCGGTACGCCAACGCGCGAGCCATTGGGTCAGCAGTGCTGTCGTCCTCTGACGATTGGCGTATTCTCTTCTTGGAGGTTTCTTGTTGATCGGACAGACGGCGACTGATTTGGGGTGGGGATACAGGATGATGATAAGACAATGGAACAGCAGCGGAGAGGGGTCGGCGATGCGAAGATCTTGCGACACGGGCCTGTTGTTCATCGTCAGTAAGCTCACGTTCATCCATGGCGAAACTCTATCAACATATCCAGTACGCCTGGATTAGCGTCACCGGAGCGTGGGAAATGAAGCAGCGCTAGAGAGGTGGTGGACTATCATATCCAAAAGGGGAATTTGAATAGGAAAATGTGGGAAGAGCGGGAAGATCAAGCAAAAAGATACGGGAAGACGGCTTGATATCGTGGCGAACAGACGCCAGCCATCGCAGGGCACGGCCGTTTGCATCGCGCTAACATATTTCCCGAAACAACAACGCAAACCCATGAAAGATGGCTAAACTTACTATGGCACTTGGCTGCTCCGCTGGCGCAACCTCTTTAGAGCCACGGCGCGTTGGTTCCTGTCTGGCGATTTTCATAAAGACGTCACCGGTCGTGTCGTCGGCGTCGGCTGACAACGGCGGTGTCATTTGCGAATAGTCATCGTCGCGTCGTCCTTCAAGGGCGCGCAGAGTGCGGTCGCGCTGATTGGAGTCGGCGTAGTCGTCGCCAAAGTCAAAAGAGCGCATGGTGGAGGTGCTACTGTCAAGTCCCAGACTTCGACGAGACCCGGATGAGCGAAAGGAACGGATGGGAGCCACGCGCACCGAGGTGGTCGGGGTGCTGGCGGTGGTGGCTTTGAAGGATACGGGGGGTCGCGAGGCTATCGACTTTCGTTTTTCATCTGTCGGGCTTGCGTTCTCCAAAGTCTTTGGCAGTATCAGCTCACGCTGTCCCTTGGCCCAGTCCTTTGTTGTTTTGTCGCCTTGGGGTTGAGCGACGTCGTCGGGAGTGTCGGGGGCTTGCGAGTGATCGGTATCTGCGGATGGTGACTCGCTATCGGTCGCATTCGACTCGCGGGATCGGTATGCAGCCGCACGTCGAGTTTGCAGTCGGGAGAGAGGGGCAGCAGGTGTCTTGAGATCTGCGACGTTGCTGTGGGATGAGATGGACTGCACGATGACGGGGCGGTCGGGATAAGACGCGGGCCGTCTTGGTGAGGTGGCTGAAGCTGCAGGGGTGGACTGAGTAGCAACCTGATACGTTGATGCGCGGGAGCGAGGGCTGAGTTTTGGAGGCGACTCGGGCAGTTCGTGGATAGGACTCGAAATCCGAGGTGGGAGCTGGGACAATTGGCGATGGGAGGGACGCCGATCGTGTAGTCGAAGTGAAGTCGAGTGGGTGCTTTGGGGTGGGATGTTGTTTTCCGGGTCGACGTTGTGTTGTTGTGGCTGCTGATGGTGCAGCTGCAAGTCTGACGTTGTTGGCAGGGTGGTGGGAGAGGCGGTGTCAGTGTCGGTGGTTATGCCAATGCCAATGTCAGTGTCAGTGAGGGCGCCTGTGTCGGTGAAAGTGATTGTGTCGGTGGCAGTGCCAATCGCAGGTGCCGAGTGAAATTCGTTGGATGTTGGAGTCGATTTAGGCGAGACAGGCGACGGCGGGATGTGGTGCAGTAGTGAGGGGAGCACTAGGCGTGGGGATTGGTATTGCTTGTGTAAGTCGGCGAATCGAAAAGCGGGAAGCTTGGACGAGTTGTGGCTCAGCCGATGTGCGTGATAAGGTGAAGAAGGTGAATTTGCTGAAGATGTCGCAGAAAGTGAGGGAGTATGGAATGCAACAGCACTTTGCGAAGAGAATGAGGATGAAGGAGACGCGGACGCGGACGCGGATGCGGATACCGTAGCAGAAGAGAGCTGTGTGGGATTCAGAGTCGGGGCATGGCCCGCAGCTTCGAAACCACCATCTGCTGGTACTGGTGCTGCTGTTGCGGGTGCGGGTGCGGGTGCTGGTGCTGGCGGTGCTGCTGTGGCCGTGGCCATGTTCGCGTCGGGGGGGGGGGGGCTGTTAGGGGTCGGGTGGTGCCTCTGCTCTCTCTCAGTCAGGAAATCCAGGTTCGGGGTCCGCTTTCAATTCGCTTCGGTCGCTGCGCCTGCGAGGAGTCTGGCCGGGCTCCTTTGTTTTTCTTCCCCTTCTTTTTTTTCGTCCTCGCCCTCTTTTTTTTTTTTCGTCAGTTTCCCTGGGCCGGGGGTGAGCTTTTTGCGCTGTTTGTCTCTGACTGACCCCAGTCCACCAAAGTCGAGGGCCAGTTCCTATGGGAATCCACCCCGTCCAATGAGCAACCGGTCGCGTTCTGTGGCTCACGGGTCGATTAGTGGTGTGTGCACGCCTGCAGGCGTTTGTTTGCTGATAAGCGTTATCGTTATTTCTTTTTTTCGTCTCCCAACGGTTACTCTTTTTTGTGGTTCTGCAATGCTGCAGATTTTGTGACTCTGGGATGTTCGTTGTTGCTGTCCCCTCTGGGCCTCTAGCGGTTCGTGCGTGTGTCTAATTTCCAGATGTCGAAGCAACCTTTCTCCCCTGCCACGTCTTGCTGGTTCTCCTCCTGGTGAAGTCGTGTGTAGGTAGTTTCGCGGGCAGTATGAGTAGATCGTTGCTCTCGTTAATTAGCAATTAGCAGTTGATGTACTACAATGTGTATGTTCCGATCGTCCATCAGGTGTTCGTTCGGATGATTTGGATGGGCGTATGCACGTCGGCGTCTAGCGGGAAGTGTCTCACTGGCTCGTCGGGTGATACGTGGGAGTAGTGTGCGAGTGTGCGAATTAGCGGCGTGGGAGCTTTGCGGTATTCGTGAGTTGCAAGTGGGAGAGCAGATGCATGCGTGTGCGTGTGCGTGTGTTTTATTAGAAGTTGTCGCTGTTGTCGAAGAGTAGGAAATCCAAGGAGTGTTTGGTGGTGGACGCCCGGCGTTCTCGATGCGATGGACAACTCAGTTGTGTGTGGGAAAGGGTGGAATTGGACGAAAATGAGTGAGCGATGGGGCTGGTGGCAGATGGTAGACGGCAGAGAGCGTTGTGAGAGCGGGAGCTCGAAATTAGTATTAGAATCGGCAGGAAGGAGCGTCGTGAACAAGTCCAGTGCGAATGCGGATCGAGGAAGCAGGAAGGAGGGGTGTGAAAGCAACGGCTTCCTCGCCTGGTGTCTTGTTTTCTGGTGTGTGGTGTGTGGTTTTTGCCTCAAAAGGTTAAGTCTGGCCCAATCCAGACAGTCGGATAGACAAATGGGAGAAGGAAAGTTGCAGTCGATCCGGGGACTGGACGGGACAAGAAGAAGATGGGACAGAAGCTAAAAAAGGGCAAAGGTAAAAATTGAAGTAAGATCAGAAAGAAAGAGGAAGTTTGGTCATGGATCGTCGTCTCTACCTTACCTGACTGACTACATGTTTTTCCCACTCACACCTCCTTCCTGCTCCTCTTCTTCCTTTGCTCTTTCTGTCGTCTTCTCTGCCTTCTGCGGGGAGAGAGAGAAACAGACCCGGCAAAGCAAGGTACCTCAGGTATCTCGTCGGCCACCGCAACTTTACTTTACTTTACCTTACCTTGCCATATGGCATCATCCAGTACCTGGTATCCAGGTTGCGTGCTCCAGATACCCGTCTATACGAACGGGTATGGATGTGGATATGGATGCCTCATCCCATCACTTTCAACCTGCAGCTACAAGACCTGAACAGCTCGGACCTCTTCTCAAGTCCCTCCGGTACCTCTGCCCGTACACTGGTATCCCACTCTACTGGAAACCTCAACTGGCCTGTGGATAATGCTGCGTACCTTGAGTACTTACAAATACGTATTTGTTCGTCCGTTCCCATTTGATCATGTCCCTTCTGTTCTCGCCGACTGGGTGACGATATTCCTCAGGGGCCTGCCATTTACGACAGATTCTTGCGGAAAGAGTGAATAGCTAAGACCGGAACCTCCCGTTTAACGATACATCTATTCGCACCTCACTTACAGTCACACCTCTTCAAGATGCAAAGCAAAGCGTGTTTCGTACTTCGATCCGGCATAGCAGATACTACCGCTCATTTGTAACTCTGTTCAACCTCGTCTCAAACTTTCTGCTTCTAGATGCTACGGATACTACCCTCTCGAAGACCTGGCATACAGAAAGTACAGCACATCTTACCTCGTCACAATTCCACGCCTGCCCCGGTTCCTGAGTCCTGAGTCCTGACTGATGCCCATGTGCTTCAGGCTTCAGCCGTGATCCTCGCCTGACGACCCCGGCCACCAAAAGCGGCATACATATCAACCGCATCCACAATGCACCACTTCAACGCGGCAGACAACCATCCAGAAGCCGCCAGCAGATGGGTTTCGTGGATCCCTATGGCGGGCCGTATGCGCTCCCGCCACCTCTCCGGTAAACCTGTCCCTCTGATTTCGTTGCCGAGCAGTGAAATGGGTCGAGGCACCAATCATCAACACACCGCCCTCTTCCCTCACTCCGCTTAACCTCGACATCCACCAGCCATAGATTTTGTTTATAGACCCATGGACAGGCACTGTCAGGAGTACGGAATACTGGCACCATATTTCTACTTCACGGCGTACTCCGTACGTATGATCCAGATCTTCAGCCGCGACTGCTTCGACTGCTTCTTATCATCTCTAAAGATATCGTATGCTCGAAACCTGGGTTCTCCCTCTCTCTCCCTCTCACAGGTACGGATACCAGACAGACCAAAGGCCCCGAGTCCCGCCGTTGAGAAAACAAAAAGGCCAAGACCATTTTGGTGGAGATGCCGCAGGGAAGTCCAGCACCTTAATCAGGACAAATGAGCTGTGAGGACAGGGATTTGCGGCTCTCGGGCAACAAGCCTCCAGGGGTCTTTGATGTCACTCACAGCTCGACCATTCGAGGTGGCTGGTTGGCCCAGCTGAAATAGGGGATGGCTCCTCGACCGGTTCCAAGCCAGCCTCTAGCTTCGGTCAAACCATCGCTGACGGTCGTCTTAGCGTTTCTCAACTTCAGCTGCAAACCAAGCCAAAGAGGTCACGGGCTTTGGACTCGTGCCTGTCTCAAACATGGAACATCGATGCTGCAGCGCTGCTACTCTGTCCGTACTGCTCCAAGATTCCGGGTCGCAGAATCTGGATCCTGTCTACTCCGTACCAATCTCTGTATAAGAGCAGGAGAAAACACTCGCAATAGAGAGCTGAGTATAACGCTGGCAGAATTTGCAAACCCTTCTCAACGGCCGGCAAGATAGGGGGATCAGGTGATAGGTAATTTGTGCCAAATTCGATCGAAAGAACATAAGCATTCCGAGGCATGAGGCGGCACTCCACTCGTTTATGGCTAGGTATACGAAGATTAGTCACATCGGGCTCGTCTCTTGAGATGATCTACCCGTATGAACAGACAACAGACGAAACCTCGCAGCCAAATCTTTTGGATTCACACTCGGACTCGTGGGGGCACGACGGCCGCAAATGCAGACGTCTGATTGACAGCTGCCTGCCAAAGGGTGCCTCTGTCATTTTGCGCTCAGTGCTCCCCAACTAATTTCTGTTTCCTCCAAGCTAGTCGGCACCAATGCAACATGGGACGAGGCTCGAGCTCCTCTCCTCGCAATCCACCTGCGACGGCGCCGACCTGTCACTTTGCAGTTTTCCACTTCCTCGAGATCCGAGTCCTCGACTCCTCGCCACGGCAGAGAAATGACATTACGGAATGCAGACCCCCGGATATGCAGTCACAAGGGGTCTGCAGGTCATCACCAGTGACTTGACTCCCAACATGCAGGAGGAGCGAAACACCCGCCACTGTGTTATCCGCGCCAACGCGCAGCCAGTTTTATTCTTTGTGCTACCACTCGAGTGCTTGCAGCCTCTCCGACGGCCTTTCTTCTGGACTAATTGTTGCTGCTGGGGAGGTGTCCAAATGGCATAGTTGGCTTCCACGCAAAGCAAACATGGATTCAACCTGGGTGATATTTGCTGTCCCTATGAGATGGAGACGCTAGCGATGCCGATCACCGTCAAACCGGGGCTCGACGACCAGGATACTAGAATGAGACTTCGATGAGGTGCAGAATTGCCAGCCACGCAAACCTCAAGCAGGAAACGCAATACCGCTCGCCCGTTCGTATATCTGAACTGGATACGGATACAGCTGGGGCGATCAACTAATTTCCTAGGTTCCAGAACTTAGAAGTACTGAGTCGTGTGAAAGATCGGCTGCAATATCACATTCTAGAGAAAGTCGGTTTCCTGTGGCTCCAAAGCCACATCGCACTCCGCATCGAGTGTGTCTCAACCTTTCCAACCACATCAAACGAGACATGCATTGCATTTCTTCAGTCGTGCGACACTAAACCAAACCATGCTCTCTAAACTATTTCTGCTACCACCCAAGAAGCAGTGATAGAACTTATCAAATGCATCAGCACGCATGTCCCATCACTTCTTCGGCCAAAGATTATTCTACCTTCACCATCGCCAGGGTCCTAAAAGTAGTTTGAGCGGCTACCGCTGTCCGCGGCATTCCACGGTCACAGCGGATACATTGCCTTCTCCCGACCATATTCTGACATCGAAAGGAAGAGCCTTGCCGTAGTGGTGTATTGCCCCTTTACACTGCTTGAAAAGAAAGTTTCCCTTTGCTTGTCATAACACGCAGGGGTGCACTTGATCGTCGCTAATGAGCATCACATATCGACATAGAATCACTTGGGTCGTTTGGCAATCCTCTCCCTTGGGTTCGAAACCAGCAGCACAACAAGAACACTATGGGCCCATCAGCCGCGTTCGCAATGGTCCGGTTCTTCCTCCTCTCGTACGGATACGAGCAGGGATACTTGCAGCCGCACGGTCTTCCCGCCTGATGGTTGCGCGTCAGCAAAATGAGTTGGAAGTCCAATGAAGTCGGGAAGACCTGTGAATAAGCTCACCTAGCGGTCTTTGACGAAGCGGGTGCTTGAACAGGGCGCAGTAATTTTCTATGTATCCAAGTCTGATGGGCGTCAGATTCCAGTAAGCCCTAGTTGAGAATAGACCCCGGAACACTTCGGTAAACGTTCCGGTGAACATAGACAACCTCACATATAGTCGGCAAACATATCCCGAGGAAAGGCAGTCACGGCCGAAGAGTGGCTATGGCCTCATAACGCTAGCCAGCATCCACGGATCTCGAATGCGCGGAACCAAACGAAACATTTATGTGGTCCTCCTATATCTCTTGAGTCGTATGTCTGGAGGCGGGCACTCTGGACGAACCATGGGTTCGATCTCACGGTTGAGAGTTCAACTTGTTTGAGGCTTGCGTGGCCGGGCATCTTCCCCCTTTTCTTGTCAAGCATATCCAAGTATTGGATTATGCGATGCTCTTTGTTGCGTCTATTCCCTACGAAGTAATCGTTATCATTGCGTGATACTCTCGAATGATGGACGTCTCTTGGAGTGCAGTTGACCAACGCATCTTCATATTCTGATACGCGATTTGCTTGCCGTCAAGTCGCCGGCTGAGTCCTTGATTGCTCTCCAATGATGACTGCAACAAAGGGTAAGAAGCCTTGCAACTTGAATCGGATGTCATAAGTCCGAAGGCTAGATTTGAGGAAAGGGTCAAGAGAGAGCCTTATTCTGAGGCTCGATCCGAGATATCATGTCCTCTGAAGCTCGCGGATGGACGGGCGGGTAGGCAGTCATCCCGTCTCCAAAAGTTTATTCGCAGGGCGAAGTTTAATCATGAGAGCCATCGGTTGATTGGACGCATTATCTGACATCCGGCTCTTGTGAGTACTTTCTTGGCTGGTTTGAAGCCCATCTTCGTTGCTCGGTCGTGGTTCTCCTCGATCACCCAGCCACCCTCACCAGCCCTGTATGTCTCTTCTTCCTTGACCTACCTGAAGGGAATGGTATACGGATGTTCCATCCCAACTCTGCATCCCTCCTTTGGATTCCCGATGCGTGCGTGAATGATGAGGACGTTATCCCCCCTCCATCCTTTCCTATTACTCTGGGACTTTATTCACCATCATGCGTGATTGGGATTTTGTGTTGATGGTGCCGAATATGATGTTCCTCTCAGTAGATTCCCATCTGATATGGGAAGGGCGGTTTTCGTCCGCCAAGGAACTGCCAACATCCATACGATATTTGTTCGCGAGAGAATCGTAAGTATCCATTCGATCTGTGAACTCCTACAAGTTCTGTTGGTCTTGGTACGCTTGGCTCTTCCGGTATCCGAGGTTTCTTGTCCGGGCCAAGCTTTTCGGAGACACGGCGAGCGAAGAAAAACCTCGTGAGAAGAGCATCTAGATCTTGGCTTGTTCTCAGTTCAAGGTTTGTCCGCCTTGAATCTACAGAGCTGAGGAAATCTCCGGAGAGGTGTAGAGCTGATCAGGCTGGTGGGTGGGCTTGCTTACTGGAGGTATCCAAGGGCCCGTGTTGTCCAAGGAGCGGTAGTATTGATGCCGAGGACGGTGGCACTGCTGATTGATCCAAGATAGCCGTTTTTGCGGTGTTTCTGACATTCTGGTGGCGATGGAATTAATTGCGAGCTTAGATGGCCTTGCTAAGAAACCATCCCCCAAATGCCATTGATAACAGGCTTGCCACATCGGCCTTTGCAAAGGTCAACTCCGTGGTAGCCCAGGGTTGGCTCAAAGGGCGGAAACATACAGGCTTTTGGAGGTCCTTCAACTGCAGCGTATTGATTCATAGTGAGATTGACGAACACTAGTGTCGTGATAGTTGAGGATGTTGGATCGAGCGTGTGATTTTCCCTCTCTGGTCACCGCGTTTTGTGGTTTGCTCGTGTTCGTCGAGGTTTTTCGAGTCTCGAGGCGTTTCTGTCGTCCTTTAGGGTGTTTGAAATTGGTATCTCTGAGAAAAATGATGAAGAATTTGTCGTATGATAGAGCCTTGAGTTCATATCTTATGGGAATAGGGGCGCTTTCCTAGTTCTATACACGTATTGTCTTCTTCTCCATTAGTTCTACCGCTGTGCGGAGTGGCGGTACCTTCTAGTACGTGAGTTGATTCATAGAGAAACTGGGTCATTCGAACTCACCTTGCCGAATGCCAGATATCGGGTCAAGTCACCGTGGAAATCAAGGGGCATATAAAGGTTTTCATAGTATCTCAAGCCGGCAGGGAAAATGTTCTTCCCGTCTCCGACCTGATCTTGTGAGCCTGAAAGTTAGTTCTCAACAGCACTATCGTAACTAGTTTTACTTCCGATTTGTCATAGATCATAATTGCGTTCACACAGAGAACAAAAGAGCCGGATCAAAAGGTAGCCAGGTGTTCCGAGGGTAGTAAAACATGCGTGTCGATCCACATCAGCATCAGAACAGATGTGTGTAGTCTGGGTATCCGATGTGATGCAACGCAGAATTCTTACTCTTCCCGATCTCAAGAGTCTTTTATAGCATTCTCTTCGCCGAGTGAAGAGCCACAGATGAATGACACTGGGGAGAGAGGCAGAGGGAAGGAAGATAAGCATGAAGAGGAAACTTGTAGGAGAGGCAGGTAATCACTGGTCCATATAAGTGCTCATCCAAGGGGGATTTTCGTTTCTTGATCAAAAATGACAATCACAATTGCTTTGTGTTACAACCACTGGCAGGGTTCCTGTGCTGTAAGAACCAGGACGATTGGAACTCAACCTCTGACTGGCAGTTTTCCCAGGCAGACACTGTCAAAATTACTTCTACATCGTCACACCTCGTCAGCCTGGTGTAAGAACTCCCGACATCTTCCAACTCCGTTGAGTATCGTCTACCGGGCAGTAGTCTCTTGGGATAGATCTTTGTCAACAAGACTTATTGAGGGCCAGTTACACCCCTCTTAAAACGGCGCAAAATCTTTGACAGATTCAAGACCGCCAAATTTTCAAATATTGAGGGAGAACTATAGAAAAAAAGACTGTTTTATCCTTAGTATTAATGGTTGCCAAGGGTGTTTGGTTGGAAAGCTTGACTGCCTTCATGTGATGGAAGACGGATATTGGCGAGGCAGGTCTCCGTCATGAATGGTACTGTATCAGGGCAGTGATCACTCATACTCCTTCTCTATTCTTTAAAATAGACATCTAGTCTCTCCACCGTATGTGCTTTCATCAGAGTTTTCGCTTGAGACAGGCCGTAGAAGGCCTGCAGAGACCAGGCAAAAGTGCTCGTGGCCAGGCTTCTGGTCTCTCCTGCCCTGTGACTCTTATCAACAAAATGCAAAGGGGGAACTCAACAACCTTGTAGCCGATCCTGCATTCTCGGGCTTCAGGCCAGTCCATCGCAAGACTACCTACGCGGGCTAGGGGGAGGGGGGGTTCAACAGTGCTCCAACAGACTGCACGCTCAATGACCTTATGCCTCATAGGCACCTCCCGGAACATGTAGTAACCACATCAGTATGTGTGTTTAGTACAACCCGAGCACAATGCTCCTTCGTCCTTCTATTTTCTTTGTTCAGAATCGACCCACCCTGTACTCATATGATCATTCTGAATACTTGAACAGAGAATTAGAACAGATGCTTCAGAGTATCGTGGTTTTGAATAATAATGCTGACCTCAGAGGTCATATTACTATTGGTACAGACTCTCTCGATTATACGGGCAGAAGGATGCGTATACAGCATAGTACATTAATAGGCAGAAGCAAGGACCTCTTTTGAACCCCCCCCCCCCCCCCCCCACCAACCCGCATAGGTAGGTTCGGGCCCCCAGAGGGTATCTAGGGTATAGACGTCGTTATGAGGTTTGGGACTTTCATAGCTCTCTGATTGTGATCTAACTTGAGCATTGTAGTTGATGAGATCATTGAGGCCTCCCGTAAGACCGCTGAATAGGGCTCTTGTTAGTTGAATGAGGCTGGAGTTTGGCCACTTTGGCAATGATCGTATGACGCAAGCTATAGCTATTCACCAAGAATCTGGCAAAATGTAACCGAGTTCTGTGCATGACTCCTTAGAAAAGCTACTGGGTCGAGTAACACTGCTAAAGACTACAAAAGATACCTGGAAAGAGTTCAGAGATGATGTCTTCCCAATGGCATCAGAAACGGCACGCACTTCGTGGTCAAGTACGTTATGTCTTGCGAATGTGTGCGCAGACGCCTTATCAGGAGCGACCCTCAGCGAATCCCTCCTGCTTTCAGATTAATCTCGGCATAGTTTGAGTTGTGTTTTGACTATAGGCAATGGACTCGTACAATCGTTTGACAGCCTCGCAGCCCCAGAGTTCCAGTCGAGTCCTCGCGAACCACACAAAGCGCAATGAATGATAGACACCTAGGTGATGGGCACGCTCAATTCAGATTTTACGGAGGGATCTGAGATAATTTTGACAGCAGGCAGCTTTTCCAACATTTGTAAACTGACACATCATGATTTATTCCCCTCACGTCCCTAGATATGGCATGTGGCGATAGATTGGGCCAAAACTTCTGACGCTGCGTACGGACTTCGCACCCACGTAGTCAAGAATACCTGAGCATCGTGATACAATAGCAAAACATTCACGATTTTGTACGAGGACCGCTGAAAATCTGGCTGTACGCCTTCAGGCGATGCCAGTTTTACACGGGTTCAGCCCCTTATAAGAGCACGTGAGGATTTCATGGTTATGAAGAAGTCCATAGATAAGTAACCTACTCAGAGCAGACTCAAAGTAAAAGCCAGTCAAGATTCAAAGGCAGGAGAATCGAAGGGGATAAAGCATCATATACCAGTCGAAACTTCACAATATTCATGCTCAATTGAGCTCATTGTTCATCATGAAAAGGAAGGTAGTGAAATTCCCATCAGACCTACCGTCTCTAAAACTATAGCCACTAGGTACCCAGAGACTCGTCATTACCAGAGTACATGTTCATGAGAAGTATATACCATCAATACCACCGCTGCCTCCGCCGCCGCCTTAACGTCTAAGCTGCACTTTGCTCCTTTCGACCAGATTTTCACGAACCCTCTCGAACGACCCCGGCCCCTTACGACTCGAGGTCGAAATCGAAGAACACAAAGGGTTCGCCCTATGCGCGCGCTTGAGGTACACAAAGACTGTAAACTTGCTCGAAAGTCTGTAGAAAGATCAATTGTAACCGACCTCACCGGCCGGCTAACAGAAAAAAAGCTTTGGCTAACCCCCCCCCCCCCCTCGCGCGTAGTCAAAGAGAACACGATAACCAATCAAGGCAGACAAGGAGACAAAGCCTAGCCGCCGATACCTCATCGCTTACGGGCAGTTATTATAAAAATTTGCTTGCTGTTTACCGCCATCGTCTATTTGAAAGTAAGGTATTCATATCCTATCCGCCCTGGTCCTCCATGACGTACCTAGCTCTTTAACCAAAGCAGAACCAGAATGAACACTCAGTCTCATCAAAGAAGGAATGCAATAACTAAAAATAAGCGACACGACAAAGACCTCTTCCGCCAGAGAATGATGACATCGAGGACAGCTGCAAAATATCTTCAAACTCATGCATGACCCGACGGCGGCGGGCCAGGCCGGCGCATCCAAACGTAAAAAGCGGGGATACTGGCCGGCGCGCACCACCCGGTGGTCAAACCCCCTCCCCTCCGAGCCCCGCCTCAGCAAGATCGGCGTCGGGGATACGGGGGACAGAGCCACTTGATAGTTCACCTCCCCTCACCTCGCCTCAGTTTACCTTTTAACAGACCACGGCTCTTGAACGAGCTATTACTCTCAAGGAACTATAAACATGATTTGACTTGGCTTGTTCCCGGGGGCGTATAAAGTGAACTTGTTCACCAGGTATTAATGGCACCTCGAGGGACAATACTCATTACGGGCAATTCACACGACTCTATGTAGTATCTATTATGAAGGAATATGATGACCTACGTAACAATTGATGGGACAATATTGATCCAGCCGTTGGATGAGGAGAGAAACTCGACTCGATCCCTCATATACTCAATGAACTCTCCATCCTCACTACCCCCCGATCCATACTGAGTTATCGCCATCCGCCGCTCGCTGGAAGCAAGACTTTCCGCATTCGGTAGGTAAATCGCAACAAAAAGCCTCCTCCAAACACTCTCACCGATACCAAACAGGTCTAACGCAGAGCTGGCGCGGCCGAGGGCGCGGGGGGCGCATGGGCGGGCGTACGGGCGGAGAGCGAAGAATCAGGACTCTTAATCGGACACGGGACTTTCCACACACGCCGTCTACGAAGACTACTACTACAGCACCTACTCTCTTTTCCACTTGTCGCCGCCGTCGCCAGCGGACGGGACATTTCCCACGCACTAGTCGATTCTGAACCAGATTCCGGGGATATGCCAGGCCGTGGCTCGAATTCGTATGGTCTCGACTTCGTATGGTCTCGACTTCGTATGGTCTCGACTTCGTATGGTCTCGACTTCGTTGATCTTGGGAAAAGGACCCTTGATTTCCCGAGTCGCTTGGTGGCGCCCTTTCTCCCTTTCTACCCGAGCTAAGTCGGCTAGCTTCACCCTTCTAACTATCCCTTTTACTTTTCGAGCTCGATCTCACCGGAGCGGGCTCCTGGGGAGAGAGCTTGAGAGCTCTGCGAGAGGAGAGAGGAGATTGGGTGGAAGAGGGGCCGCGCGTGGTAAAGCTCAGCTTAAGTGTGGCATATTCCACCACCTTCACCCAGGTTTCTACGTCAGGCAGCAGAGAAAAGTCAGTAGAACCTCCAGAGTATGCCTTGCCCGTCCCGCCTCGTGTGTTGCGCGCAGCGCCGGGCAGAAAGAGGGGTTGTCCGGCCGTGGATCACTCCCTGTAAATGATTGTCGTGATCGGGTTACAGATGTCAACCTTAAAAAAGTCCACATCATACACCATACATACATAGTACACTACACCGGAGCAACACGCAGCAACAAGCACACAAGGCACGGCACTGCCAGACTAAAGTTCTCAAGCAGTGGTGTTACCAGGAGAGTGGTTTGGTGTGGTGGGAAGGTTCAAGTGGACGCATCGACAAAAGTCAGAGGTACCTTGCCTTGCCTTGCCTTGTAGTCTCGGGCAGCAGCGGCGGCAACGGACGAAGGACAACTGCGTCCCAAGAAAAGATTCAATAGTGAGGAGGGCTAGGATCACGTAGTGGAGGGAGCGTCCCGGAAACAACCACCTCACTGCCCGCGCCCGATATCACGCCCCGTCTTGATCAAGTATGTTGGACCTCGCGTTGTATCATTACCCATTGTGCCATGTCTTTCTCGACGGATTCACGAGCAAGGGGAGGCACTGTTACCGAACCGAGTGAGCTTGCGTTACTGTTGTTCTCGGAAACTCACGTGCATAGTCGCTAGGGCGACGTGGTCGTGAACGAAGTGGACGAAAGGTGGACGCTGAAACAGCATGTCGCCGGTTTCGTGTCCGTGCCTGTGCCTGGGGTGGTTGTCTTCAAGGGGGGCTGGGGGCTGGGGGCTGGGGCTGGGAGGGGATAGGGAAGAGGGACCACAGTCATGCTAGCAAACCGCGTGTTTGATCCGCAACTTCAAGTTTGGCGAAAGAGAAATCGTCAAACTTTTTTTGGGATGGCAGACGACAGACACAGACCAGTGCTTTCAACGGAGCTGAGACGAGGAGGATCCTCGACCAAGAAATGTAGAGAGCCCTTTTTGAGAGAGGAAGACCGACGAGTAAAACGTCGCCCGGGTGGCTTCAGTGTCGTTTGATGATACGGCCCGTGGTGGGACGATTGGGAATTCGTTGCTGTCAACCTCTGACGCGGTATCTGTTCGAAACCGTAAAGGTGACGAGGCCCAACGCGACCCTCAACGGCAAAGAGCCCAAGGCTGGGACAATGGGACTTGATGGAGAGTGGCGTTGTACGTATCTGAACACTATATCTGTGGTCCAGCGATGGTGATCGGGGAGACGTGGATGAGATAGAGTTGGCTGCAGGGTTGCAAGGAGCCGCAGACAGAGGGCAGACAAGCTGGGATGGCCCGACCAAATTCTGGACTGGAAAAAGAACCGTGAATGCATGAAGTAACAGCGCCATGTTTGCGTGTGCCTTTCAGGGCTGAGCAAGCAGACGCGGCGTGCGTTGTGTTGGTGCAATGCTGCGCGGTCGGTGAGACGAGACGGAGACGGAGGGCGGGAACGATCCCAGCGTCGTCTCCGTCTTGACAATAGCGAGTTCGAGAACTGGAGCACGAGGCTCTGACGAGGCGCGAGTTGCAACGACGTCGACAAAAGAGGACAGCAATGGGCGCGTTCGCTACGCATCCAGAACTTGGGAGAGCGGCTCAGGGCTGGCTGGTCAATGCCTATTGCCTGAACGTCCGTCTTGCATTGCTGGGGCGACGGGGCATCAGAATTAGGAGCAATAACACAGTCTTCGGGGCAGGCACCGTCCTAAAACGGCAATGAATTTGAGGCTCGGCTGAGTAGGGCCCCTTTGGCAAATTAAAACGGACTGGGGGGGGCCTTCAGAAGTTCAGACTCTCGAGACATGGGTGCGCGTTGTTGGAGAGTTGAAGCAGAGTTCCGGCGTAGATTGATATTAGGGAAGACACCCGAAGACGGTGGAGATGGCAGGTCCAAGGTCGTCGAATGAAGGATCGAGATCGGGCGGAGATATTGTCATGGGCCTTGATATACACTAGGTAGAGATGTGAACGCGAGAGGTTCGCCTGATGGTCCAAGGTCCTTCCCACGGTTCCCACCCGTGACAGCACAGCGTACCGTGACGACGGACGTGGAGGGGGCACCGGCTGGAAATGGGGGGCTTGACTTTGAATGCCTTATTGATATTAACCGTTATGCGTTGAAAGGAACGCACGTACTCTGTACGCGCTGGCACAAGCTTTATCTGTACGAAGGATACGCGTCGCCCGGTATCCGTGGACCGTACGGGACGAAATGAGGTGACGGTTTATTTCGGGAGCCGGGAGAGCTAAGCCCACCGACCGAAATGGCGGACGGGACGGAGTGGGCGGGAATGGCATAGTTGGATGCGAACTGGATGATGTGCATCGTGCCATCGTCTTCATCGCGCACGGTGGGGGAGAGACGGAGACGAGAAGTTTGTCGTGCCCTTTTGCGCCTGGTGTTTCTTCGTGACGCTCAGGATGGCAGTGACATAATTGGGTAGCAATAGCCACTAGGTTCAAACAAGATTTCTTGTTAGATTACTTGGTGCTGCTCGACAAGATTTGGATGTGCGCTGGAAAAAATGTCCCTTATTTTCTGCTCATTCTCATTCTGGGCCGGCGAGCCCTAAGCTGGTGAGGCTCATCATTAAACGGGAATTCCGAACGAGGCTTAAACTGGCACTGACTTGAGCATGTATCAACGGCCGGCTGTCCTTTTGCAGATGAGTCCGGGCAGCTAAAACAGCCCCGGATTTACTGGGCAGAAGGGTCACACAGACTGTGACCAGGGGAAGGGGTCTGGGTTAACGACATTTGAGGGTTCTTGTAGGCCCCATTTCCTCTTCAGGTGGAAGATCTGCCGGGGCGCCAGTGGCTCGTTTTGAAACTTGAGAGAGAGCCCTGGAGCAGTAGAAAGAAGCAAGAATGCTCGCCTGTGGCAGGATTGTACATGAGGCGCGCAGAGAGTTGATAGCATCTGTAGCCTGTACTTAGGTAATGAGTATCGGTGGTACGCCGGAAAGGGTCACCTGCAGAGTCGTAATTTGCGGAAGATAGACGCCTAAAATAGACGCGGGCATGGCGCATGCTGCAGAGGAGAGAAGTGAGTAAGTTGTGAAGAAAGATGATGAAGCAATGTCGCATGCGTACTGCGGTAGGTGAGTTAAGGGAAGAGATGGCAGAATGGGATGTTCCCTGTGGAAAAGCAGGGCATGGGAGTGTTGGCGGGATGAACAGACCGACTTTTCGATATCCCATCCTTGGTTGCCCTTTCCATGCATCCCCCCCCCCCCCCTCTGGCGCAGTTGCCGCTCCTTCTTTTTGCCACTATTTTGTTACAAAATACGGATAGGAAACTGGTGATCATTGGATCTTCCCTTCCTGCTTCGCTCCGAGGAAGGGGGCCTGGCTGGGTCTGTGGTGATCAGGGCTCCGTCCCCCGGACTCTCCATTCTAGTGCTTCTGGGCCTGCCTTCCGAAGCCGAGGTGCTCGCCGATGGTTCTTGGTGTTTTCCCAGGTTGTTGGTGATGAAGACTGCACCTCAGAGACGAAGTGGAAGTGGTTGCCAGCTGGCGGTGATTCTCCTTCCCAAGTACTCCGTAACGCAACCGTCAACCTTGCGACCAATCAGAGCTCTGGCGCAGGTTGCCGCTGCCACTTCTTTTTTCGGACTCGCGGGAGTGGATCAAACCCAAGGCGCACGCCCCCTGACGACTCAGGGGGTGTTCAATCCCTGTTCGTTTCAGATTCTGCCAAGACGTCGAGGAAAATAGCTTCAAATTTCACACCAAGGGCCCGACGCTCCCAATCTCCCATGCAGCGCCAGATTGGAAAGCTGCAGGATGTGGGGGCGGCGACTCGCAACAGACTCGTTTCTGCCTCTCTCTCCCTCTTAAAACTCTCGACCGTGGGAACACTGTACACTTACACCCAAGAGAGGCAAGGCAGCACAGTATGAACGAGGCAAAAGCCAACCTGAATCATTTGCTGCAGTGCTCCTTCAGCGGGATGAGCAAGCCACAAAAAACAAAAACAAAAACCATAGGGAAAAGCTCTCATAGTATATCCTATGGCTAAAAGGGTTTGGAGGGAATGCAAGATCGATCGCACACTACTACGCTGTTGTGTCCGTACCTAGTCTCGTGATTTTACTTTGTCGCAGACTCGCAGGTCGTTCCCGCTAACAGTTTTTTTTTACCGAGTTTTATTTTCCTGATCTACGATCGCGAAATTGCGATGAGTTGGTTCAAGTCTGAGAATGTTTTAGGGATGAGCTGGCTGGGCGCCCGCGCCGTGTTACGTTGCCGCTTGCCGAATGTCTGCCGCAAACATGACCCTGCTGTGTTGCGAGCGTCCAACCCGTTGTCAAGAAACAAAAAAAAGACGGGGTTACCATCTGGAGTTCATGCGGTGATCCAACAAGGGGAAGGGGGAAAAACAGGAGGCTCTGCTTGTAGTTCAGGACCACGATGTTGTATCAGCATCCGAGCGTTCTTTATTTCTCCGTTTTCCATGTGACCAACGCGTCCAGGCTCTTCAACGTCAACGTCGTTTCTTTCAACTGCTTTGTTGTCGCGATGATGCAAATGATGACGCCGGTGTCCTCCCCCCCTCTTCTCCCCACCATCACCGCCGTTATAGTATGAGACGGGGGGGGGGGGGGGGGCATGGAGGAGGATGGGTGAGTCAATACATGGGACGAAGAGGGACGGTGGATATCCCATCTATCTTGCGAGAGATTGACGAACGGTGAGCGTGGGTAAATAGAGGAACACACATATACGAGCCGCCGGCTATAGTGTTCCTAATTCTGGCAAAAGGAAGAAGAAAAAGAGACAATATCGATCATTATAGCCGTCCCTCCGTCAGGTAGAGGTATCATCCATGGAGGAGCCACGATGGCTCTGCCCTGCCTCGGCATCTCCCATACGAGGACGCGCAGGGATCTGGCTGGCAAGACTGGAGGAGGGATGTCTCTGGTTGTCAAGAACGGGATTTTCGCCCTCACTTGAATGAAAAAGAGCAGTTCAAAGGGAAAAAGGTTTCCTGACAAGACAACCCGACCACCCCCCGTCTGCCCCTGAGTGCCCCCCTTCGGCTTCTCTTTCTCTCTGGTAGGCCTGCCGCCCTGGGAGACTCTGGAATGTTGCCTTTAGGTGTGGCTTGTCAATCTTGTCTCTGGTTCCTAGTATTGCCACGAGGCCAGAGTCGATCGAATTCCCTAGCCGCTTCCAACCTGTCAAGCGATAAACCTTGGGTGCCAGCTGGGAGATTGGCCCTTTTTCTTTCTTTCTCATAATCAGCCTACCGGAAAAGAGAGTATCTTTTCCATGTGACTCGTGATGTCGATCCTCTCTACTCGAGAAAGATGTAGCGAGCCGTTATCCTGTGAGAAGTGTGAATTGGGGTGACTGGCAACCTAATCCCTGGCAAGACGAGGGTCACAGAATGGAGACGAACGTCGAACTATCCCACGGGACTGGCTACGACGCGTCTCCCCCCTCTGCTCGGTCAGCCGCCGACAGATAAAAGCCTGCGCCTACAGAGTGGGTGGGCGGTTCTTTGTACGTGGAACGGAATATCCGTAGTATAGGTCAACTGAGCCCCAAAGTCGGATACCTCCATTTTCGTTCGTCCAAAAGGTCCCTTGATTTAGGAGAGAGAATGGACTCTATGGAGAAGTTGCAAAATTCTAGATCGGGTGTAGCTCTATAGTGGCTCTTACCGACTTAGGTAGGGGGGGGCCATCAACTTCCAACGGATACTGAGCCCTCTGTACCTGTTTCCGACAAATGAAATAAAGGTCTCCATCCTGCCTTGCTTGCCTGGCCGCGCGCAACTGAATACCGCAATTGGGGGTCCGGCGGCGAGACCGAGGGACAAACTCGAGCTGATGAGTGCAAATAGAGAGAGATAATGGACTCGAGGGGGAGGAGGAGGACACACTACAGGCGGCCGCAGCGTTTCGTTGCCGCCGAGGGAAGGAGCCACAAAGAAGGCTGTGTTCAGTTACGGCGTGTTCAGAAGGGCAAAGACAGCGAAAGGACAGCGTGTATCCCGAGCATGTTTTGGCGGCTAAGGCCGGAGCCGCGGGCACCACAAAGGGCGGCGGCGGCTTTTCTTGCTCGAAAAGATGGTGGTTCAAACTGAAACCGGTGGTTGGCTGGTGATGGCCGCATCTAGAAAAGGGCACGAACGGGCAAACGCAGGCTGTGGCCGTGGCATGTCGCGCAAGCCGTCGGTACTCTGTGGGTAGTAACCGCAGACGTACGAAGTATGGTTCAGAAACATCATGTTCTAGACTAGGGCAGTTCAGGTCGGTGGGCTTGGGTTTAATGATCGAAGACCCAGTTGTCGGTAAGGATATTGGCCTGGTTCAACAGATTGGCTACATGTCAATTGTCAAATGAGAAGCACGGCCCGGCGATGATGATGTTCTATAGTGGGCTTGGAATGATGGAATGATCTGCAATCGACATTTGCCAGACTGACTCTCAACGAACCCACGGAAACCCACGATCCCGGCCGAGAGTCGGTCGGAATTTGCCTATACAAATTTGAGTGGAGGGTATTTTGGGTTCTCGTGAGGAATGTGCTATGTGGACTGGAAATGCTGACTGTACAGAGTGCACGAATATCCGGAGAGCCACTTAGGCAAGGAACCCAAGAAGCACAGCACCGCAGGGCACAAGCAGCACCAGAGTCTCGGTATTTCGTTGCAAGGGTGGAGGGGGAGCAAGGCAGGGAAAGACAAGCAAGAAAAAAAAGCACAGGACGCCAGGAGGCTCTCGCCTCCAGAGATGAGCCAGCCCTCTGCGCCAAAAGTAGTAGCAGGCAATTACTGGGAACAGCCGGGATATGGGTCACCCAGGGCGAGATCTGACAGCCCAGAGACGAGGCCGCCGCCGAGGGCAGGACAGGACGACGGCGGCTGTTCGGTTACAGAGTTCAGACTCTTTTCTTCGGTATCACAGCCTCAGCGAGGCAGAGAGCAGAAAGACGGAAACTTCCATTGGATAGGGCAAGACAAGACAAGGGGCTCGGGAGTTCGCGCTGGCACTCGGGGTTGCTAAGAGGAAATAATAGTGGTGATTGGGCGTTGCGCACCGCAACTTTGCGCCCAGTCCTGGCGGCGTTGAGCTATATTCCTTTTTGACATGCCTGTCATTTTCTTTCTAGTCTTTGGATTACTCCGTACGGTAATAATGACTCCCCGTATTACGGATACAGATGGCTTGAGAGCCCGTGTCTGCGTGTTGTACTAGTGTGTATGATCGCTGTGACCGTTTGTGTGTAAGTGCGTGCGTGTGATGTGTAGACATGCCACTGCATGTCACTGAGAAGCCAGCTTGATAGGTTGATTAGGAGTTCTCAGGTCAGCA